TTCATTATATCATTACCTTGACTAAGTTTGATGAGGATTTTCTGCTTAGACTAAGGAGCGATAAGCAATTTGATTGGTCAAGACTTTGGATAGTTTGGAACATAACTCTGCTTTTAATTGAGGCAGACTGTTTAAAACTTGATGTTGGTGTTTATTAGAAAAATGTCTTGACTGAGTTCAATGATCAACATTTCCTGTTAAAGCTAAGCAGAGCCCAGCAATTTCTTTTACTTTGATTCTATCTGATATGAAACTTAGTGCATAGTTTATTGTTCAACACTTTTGAAAAAGATAAATGTGCAATTAATTAATATGTGTCATCTATTTATTTCAGGATTTCGAGACTGTTGGCTTGTTTAAACTTAGTTAGCAACAGATGCAAATTTAATCCAGCATTCTTTTTCAATGCGATAATTGATTTTCACTTTAATTTGTTTGCATCGAGTTTGTCTACAATGTTTTGGCTGGAACTTCAAAATCTAATGGCCATTCTGTGTCAACACCAATTTCTCCTCCCCTTTCTCAAATACCAAGCCAAAAGTCAAACTTTTACCCTTTTTCTTAGTCAAAACTTGGTAAATCAACTTAAAAGTAAATAAAAAGGTCATCCCATTTACTTCATACTGTTCAGTGATCAGAATTTAACGTAATCATTGTAAATTTCTGTTACTAAGTATTTAAATCAATTTACCGATTCTCCACCCACAAAACTACATGTAAGATTTATGTTAGGTTTACTTGTCCAAGCTTCAATACTGAGTAGGTAATGACTTACAAGTGTTCTTATTACACACTTCATGTGAACTTTTGTCTGGTGGGTCCTACACACATGACCATAAAATAATATAAGTACAAACATTTGTCAAAACCTTTGGCCAGAATAGAGATCATACTGCCATGTTTGACTTTTAGGTGTTTATATGACATGCTGTGGCTGTTTGCCCTGTCCACAGATGGTCATTGTCTTGTAAAAACCTTAAATCAACTAGCAGTGTGTGTTTTCTATATTTGATAGCACCTGTCCTGAAACTGTTTACTCATAGTCATATCTAGTCATCATTAAATCATTCTTAAACATTTTCAATTTGGCTGGGTTACCTGACACTGGTCTGATGAAATAAAGAGATAATGTTGAATGTACATGTAGTAGCTGGCATATTGAAAGCCAATCTTAAGTTTCTTATTTTATTCAAAGTAAAACAGTCAAAACTAAAATAGTTTTAACATTAGTAACAGTTTGTCAACTGAAAGTTGATGACAACAGTTCAACGGAAAACAAGGCAAATCTTAAGTCAACATATTTCCTGGCCATAAGTAGCGGATTTAAGATGGCGAGGTCAAATTTCCTTTAACACAATTTGATCCTTATTTCTGTCTCAACTCAAAATTTTAAAAGGAAAAATATTTTTTAAAATTTATGAAAACGATTGCTCAGACTGACAGAGTAGACCACCTTTTAAGTTTGCTAATTGCTTACCTGGGCTTGTTAAGAACCGTAATATGTCAATAATAATACATTTGTAGAACGTTGAACATGTTTCAAAATTGCAAGCTCTAGTCTTCATTTGGAAGCCATTGGTGGAAAGATTTGTTTATTTTAAAAACCAAGGTTCAAAGCATTACTAAAACCATAACATTTTTACAGCATCATACCAGATTGTTGGAAATACTTGACACAAAAATCTTTTTATTAACTTTAATTATGTTAGTTTTAGTTAAATTGAATAAAGATAATATAACAATTATAAGTAACAGTACTGGGTATAAATGCGGTCAAAAATGAGTCCCCTGTCTTGATTTTGGATTAAGCAAAAACAATTTTCTCTCTCTTACCAGATTCATCAAATACTTGACATGAATTAAAAGTAAGCAGTAGGTATTTGAAATGAGACCAGGGTACAAAATGGGGTCACTTGTCAGAAATATGTTACCTTTACTAAACTGTCGGCATGTCACATGACTGGAGGGTAGCTCGGTGTCATTTAATATTCTAATAGCTTGGGGTTTTCATTATTTGGCACTTTCATCATCTTTTGCTGTAGTCGGAGATGTAAATAGTCTGTTTCCTTTTAACAGTATCCCCATTCCATTCCAATTTTTTCCCATACAATTATAAACCAGAAGAATTAAGCGTTTTTATTGATTTAAAGTTAGACCATAGATAAGTTTATAGTATTTTAAGTACTATAAATCTAAAGCCTAATTACCAATCCATCTATATCAGTGCAGCAAGGTGTTAGCATGTAGCTTTTCCATAAATTCCATATACAGGTACTTATGGTACATGTAGGTATTGAAGTTGTATTTTAATAAATAACAATACTCTATTCTAGAGGGCAGCATTCCTTGAGGCCATGTTTAGATTAAATCTCAGATAACCTGATTGTCAAAAAAACCAACAAAGCTGTATATAAGCTAACATGTATTTGTATTTCCCACCCAATCAGCTTAGTTACATATTCATTTAGTTTAACATGTCCAAACAGATAAATTTCATTTCTTTAGTTTTAGAAAACTGTCTAATGAATTAATGACCACATTAAACATCTAAATTGTTGCTTTTAATCTGTTCACGGTATGTTACCTTGCCAAGGTGAAACAGTCATTTTAAAAATCTCTCATGTCCAGTTATTTTAACCAGCTTCAGGCCAGTCATTTATGTCACATGCTTGATTAACCCAAATTCCTTTCTTCTCAATAATAGTAATAATACCCTCACATTTAAATTAGTGTAATGATAGTAGGGTAGTAAATGTAAAATAAGGTATAAATAAGATTCTACCTCTAAATTCCTTTAGAACATGTCAACGCTAGTTCATTGACATTGTTACTAGTAATTATTGTCTAAGCTTTTACTACTCTATAGGATATCACTTGGTTGTAATCTGTCAGTAAACAATAACTAAATGATGCTACAGTAGACTAGCTTACAGATCTACTTTTCAAAAGTATCCATTTATTCACACTCTGAATACAGATGACCTATTTAGATACTCAATTTCGCGCCATTCTGTAGGGGGGGTTTCTTCAATAGACCTCTAGGTGTAGTAAGGATTTCAAATGTAAAGGTCAATTCGTTATTTCTTCATTTTAATCGGGAGTAAAGCTAGAGAATAGACTTTTCTTTTGTTAACAATTTCCCTCAAAAGAATAGTGATTGAAATTTATTCATCATCCCTGTATCTATGACCATGTATATTTCATCAAATGGGTTATACACAAGTTTGCAATGTTATAATTTATTGTGTTGTACATACTTTTCATCCCACTGGCATATAAACTCAAGCCCATATTTTCATATTAACCTCATTGTTTGGAATTCATTTATCTTGGAATTCCTATTGAGGACACACCTTTCCCCATATCATACACTAATATAATACGTAGACAAACATCATCCCATTTATATCCTGTTTTTATGATATTCTTGAATCTTGAATATAACATAGTTACAAATAGTGCCGTTATACATTGTAAGTTCACACCCAATGAGCATGTGTCTAAATATTGGAGTTGGCCTTTAAAAGGAAACACTTATATTTGTAGTCAGACCATATATGGAATAGTTGTTGAAACTCTCTCAAGTGATGTAATGAGCTATTTGTCCTAGTTCTTTCCATTTCATGTTTTATAGATTTCCTAAGTAACATACCCATTACCCAATATCTGTTACACATGTACATTGAAAGGTACATGTATTGAATGAGATTGAAACATGTTCTCTTTTTCCGTGAATGAAATGAGAGTATAGAAGAAAAGCTTCATTCAGTCATGTTGAATATAACCACAGCTAAGCTTTTTATTGTCCATTCAGGTCACCTACATGTACTATAGTGAGTCATACAGTTGTAGTCTTTTATTCATCTCATTCCATAAATACCTATTTGTAACAATAATTTATTCTCACATTTGTACAATTAATTTTGAATTTTTTTGATGTGGCCTAGAATTTTTGTAGTGTTTTACGGTAAGCAACAATGCGGAACCAACCACTCAAGGAGTCACTAATGAAAAGGAGGATATAAAATTACACAGCGGAAAGTTATATCTTACAAGGGCTCCAAACTTTTTTATAATATTTTTTATGAAGGTACAAAATACAAATGTAGTTGTCACAAGTGAACATGTAACTAGGATTGTTTAACATTTCTCATGATGGTATATTCATGTGATTTTATTACCATTTACTAAAGGTCAGGAAAAGGAAGGGAGGCAATCTACAATCTATGTTAACCATTTAGTATTCATTTCCTGACATGTTGTTTAATAGTTAGAACCCTGTACATACAGTTACCACACGCAATATTAAAAGCAACCGTCTTGATGTGCATTGTACATTAGCAGCTATGTTTAACATTTCAATGCAATTGCACAACAAAAAGGCCAACATTAGGGGCATTTCCACTTGATTGTAATACAAACCAGCATTGCACCAATGATGAATATTTTTGTTATTTTGTTCCAGCTATTGTAATTTTTTGTGGTAGAAAGCTCTTGCAAAAGCAGACGCTTAAATCACATACATAGACTTTGAATGCAACAGAATGATAATTGTTATTGAGACTATATTTAACTGAACGACAGCTGTTTGCTGGTATTGCTAACCTTGGTCTATTTTTTTTGAGGAATATCTTTGTTTAACAGAGTCAACAATTAAATTATGCATAGCCAGTCTAAACACTCTTAATCCTTAGCATAATAAATATGATGTATTGTTGACATGCAGCTAGTCAATGATATGTAAAGATGTGTGAAAGCAGTGTCTACACCTAAACCGATTAATAAACATGCTAGTATTTAGTAGTATCATTTATGTGCATTTGATTTGAAACATTTAAACCAATAAGTGTATGTTAATTTCCTTACAATTATGATAGCAAAAACCACATAAATTACTACAGTTTTTACCCTGTGTCATATTAAATATCCACAACTACATACTGTTTACTCTGATCCTCACAGGCCTATTGACTAAAGTGTCCATGTTTTTGTCTTTGTAGTTGGAAGCTGAAGCAGCTGGTTTTTCACGTCGTATTACCCTCCTAGAAGAAGATTTGGAGAGGTCGGAAGAACGTTTGACATCCGCCCAGTCCAAACTCGAAGAAGCTTCTAAGGCTGCAGATGAGAGTGAGAGGTATATTTTATCGTTCACTCTTTTCATTTCTGAAAATTTTACTTTCATTAACTGCAGTGTACTCTGTGAATTCTGTCATCCATCTCTTACAAATTTGAGTGGATTTGGCTCTTGAAAGTTTGCCTTTTAAAAAGGTGACAGATTATACAGAGAACAATGTGTTGATTTTGGCACGAATTTGATTTATTTATTATATTACATACATGACATCTTTCAATATACATAGATGAAGAGTAAAAATCAATAAGCAATGTTTATGGACAATGACAGGTTGGAATTTATTTCAAAGCTCCAATTCAATGTTAAATTCAAATTCTTCATTTTATTCAAATGAGATCTTCATCTTGTATGTAAAACATGTTGTTTACCCTTAAATTTTCAGCCCAGATGACAGATATATTCATTAAAATGCTTTCTGTAGAAGGGTTGATTTGCTGGTCCTGAAATGTTTTATTTCAGCAGATATGGTGTTGCTGTTGAAATGATTGCATGGTTATTTGCTCTTTATTCAAGTTAATACCCCTTGATTCAAAATATCCCCAGATTCATCAATAAATAATGTATGCTTTATTCACAATAAAAAAAGACTCCCTCCCTCTCCAGTTAAGGACAAGAAAACTATTATCAATTGAAAAATATTTTTGTTGAATGCCGAAAATGAATGCTAACTTTTAACCCTGTAAATGAAAATATTTGGCTGTGATGATAAATATTCCATATCATTATATACCATTTAATCCACTCCAAATTCCTCATAACACTTCCTTAGTTTGATGACTAAAAGCATGTGGTTAAATTGTTATTTTTGCATGGTGTGTGTTTTACAGACAAAAACGAACAATAGAGAATAAGTTAGTTGCAGCTGAAGAAAGATTAGACGAATATGAAACAAGATTGAAAACCGCACAAGCACATGCTACAGATACCGAAGTTAGATATGAAGAGGTAGGGCGCCTGCCGCTATCGCACTCGGATCAATGACTTCTATCCAGTTGACTGTTATCCTGAGTACATCTAGAAAAAATCCATAAAATTGATTATACTTGCAGCAAACGTACATAACGATATTACATGTATGCAAATAGTGTTAAATAGTTACATAATAATTCTAGTTTATATGCAAATCATGATAACAGTCCCTGTATATAGATCATTTAAAAAAAGATTACGTCTATATAATTGTTCTGAATAAAAACAATTATTCAGACAATTGAATTTCTTATTAGATTTTTACTTAAGTACTTATTTATTATGCATGTTATCAACTTCCTAGCATGTTAGAATCTGACTAATGATTACTTTTCCTTTTTTTACAGAAATTTTTAACAGTTTTCTTTTCAGATCTTTATTGATAAAGTTTCTATAATGTGTATTAATCCTTATACTAAAGAATTAGTTCCTTTTTATCTCAATAGAGGGCGCAAAGTGCTGGAAAGTAGGAGTTTATCAGATGACGAAAGAATAGATCAACTTGAGGCCCAACTCAAGGAGGCTAAATACATCGCTGAGGATGCTGAACGCAAATACGATGAGGTGACGATTCCGTCCATGCCTGGCTGCATGACATGCCTCCAGTTAATTTATATGTGGCGCTAACCATATTGACTAAAAGCTCATCATTTACTTGATATGAACAAACAACCGCATCATATAATGTTGCAGGCTTATTTGCATATCTGTGTTTGAATTTGATTATCAATCATTTATGAATCAAAATATCTAGCAGATGTCACTGTGATATTAAAATCATTTCGTTCTTTAACTTTGAATATATTTGTAAAGACTTATTCCTGCTAGATATTGGTTCAAGCTTTTATTTAAATGTCTAATTAATACTAAACGTAATGCAACCTGTGTTGTCTTAACTCAATCTGTCTTCTGCCATTAGAGGGCGAAAAGTACTGGAGAACAGAAGCTCGTCTGATGAAGAACGTATTGAGATCTTGGAAAAACAATTTGAGGAGGCCAAAGTGATTGCTGAAGATGTTGACCGTAAATATGAAGAGGTGTGCTAGAGTTAAAAAAAAAAAAAAATCGAAACACCCTAGTCTTGATGTTTTTTGCTATTTGACATAGGAATAGAAATCGCGATCTGTTATCACTAGTGTGATGCAAGGATTTTGTGTGAGATGTGCCAATTGATTATGTTATGCAATATCGCGATTTATTATAGTAGTCAGTAAGCATGGTTTGCTTTCAAAATTTCAATCGACCATTGTGGGAATATCAATAGTTCTATTCAGCAGCCTTATATCAGAAGACAGAATCATTAAGTTATTTGTTTGTGTTAAAACTATTATATTAATCAAATTACTACTATCTGTTACATCAATGTTCATGCTAACAATTTATAAACCCACAAAATCATTACAAGATTTAATAGGAACAAAAGCAATAACTTGACTTTATGTCCAATCTCGGAAGACATCTAATGTTCTATTAACTTGTAAATGTTCTGTTGGAGGCAGTGGCATGATGTGGTTGATACAGAATTTAAATCCTGATATTTTTCTTGTTACAGATGCATGGAGTGTTTTATCTGTAAGCTGTTGTCATAATTAGCCACTCTTAAATTGTGCTACATTATTCCTTGTTTTCAAGATCTCATTCTCTTTGAGTAGGTTTAGCTCTACATGTAGTTCTATGTTCAAATCCATACACATTATGTAGTTCTTGGTTCTCACAATCTAATTTGATAAATATTCCGAAATTCATGGTACCTATTGACAACAGCTAACAGATTATGTAGATTTTGACTATTATATCCAATCTATACCCTTTATAATATAATCATAATCATCAGATAGTGCTGGCATACCACTGGAAATCTTTCCTAAGTGATTATTGATAAACTGACGGCTTCTCATGTTACGTGCTTGATCAGAGAAATTAAGTACTCAATGTAAGCCTCTTATAACATTGTAGCATTTGTGGATGCAAGCATTTACCAAATTCATTGTTTGTTTCAGTGCTTGTTTTAAAATTAAATTAAAATTTTAATATTTAGAAACAATATTCATCTCTTGATAATTTGAAAACAGAAACTGATTTGGGAAATGATGATTGTGATTTTGTTATTTGATATTTAAAGATGTGCTTATCCAGTCTTCAAAGAGTTTACAAAAGATTTTGGATTATCCTTATTCCTAACCACCATAAACCCTGTAGGATTAGCTAATGTAGATACCATTGTTATTCGGCAGATGGATTATTGTCAAGGATATTCATTGGATTATCTTTCACTGACTACTAATCATATTTTTTTAAATAGTTAGTTTACTAACAATCTTGAATGAAAATCAGCTACCTTCTACGTGATGTATTCGTTTGTTTGCATGGTTTTGAATTTTAAAAAATAATTTCAAAAATTATCCAAATTATTATCAAAAATTCAAAAATACATTTTTCACCTTATCAATTAATAATTCATAGTTTTTTTTACCCTAAGATTATACGACAAATTTAGTGTATGAAAAGAAAAAAATCTTTTATTATAATGTTCAGGAACATAGATTTTAGAATTTGCATGATTTATTACTTTCTTAACCGACTGATCAGTTCCATCAGTGTTCATATTATTGTTGTATTATTATGTAATGAACATTCATGGAATTAAACGTGAGGCTGATTTTTATCATAGGCTGCTCGTAAACTGGCCATCACTGAAGTAGATTTGGAACGTGCTGAAACTCGACTTGAAGCTGCTGAAGCGTGAGTATTATTATATCTTTTAATGATATCTTATTATTGATTTCAACGAAAATTTTGATTTTTTTTCCCCTCAGAGCGTTCGTAAATTGGTGGTAAATGATTCTGATCTAGAAAGAGTAGAACAACGAGCAGATATTGCCGAAAGGTTTGTCAAGTCGAACTGTATATTAACTCTAAATGACTACATGTCTTTTATTTCTCCACTCTTTTATGGCTCTGGGCTCTGATACCTTCTCATCCACTATTAGGGAGCAATGTTTCACATGACACCACCAAAATTATATTTTACTCTGGATGTATTATATTTTTTAAATTAATTTACATGTTATCTTGTGTTATATATGAATAATATGTAATGTTTCAGACTGTATTCAGGCTTTGATTTATATAGTGCATCTGAGTTTTATGAACGTGGGAATTATGAAAACAAACAAAAAAAACATGATTTACTAACTAATGTGCATGATGCATTCAGAGTTTTAAAACCCAAAAGTACAGTATTATTATAGAGCCAATTTCAGATGGTTTCTATCTTGCTACTGGTAGTTTGTTCAAATACAACACAAATATTCGCAAACTGAATATTACGCTCCATCAAAAAACATTGGTCAAAACTTTAGAACCAAAGAATAATAGAGAGGAATCTTGTATGCAAAAGACATCTTTTGCTATTATGTCCTTTCTACTCTTAATAAGCAACCTGCCTTCAATCAATTGACACCCATTATCTCCCAACTATTTAATAGACTGAACTGGTAAAATGAAACCATCTGAAGTTACTAGACAAGTTTATATTATCAGTACTAACAAGTTTTTCTTTTCTTCAAACTAAAAAAAAAAAAAAAAAAAATTAGAACAAGGTTTATTGACTTGAAGAAAATACTTTAGATTTTGTTGAAAAAGATTAAATGATATAAATATATTTGATCAATTTGGGTATTACTTGTTGTGTAAATAACAAGAACCTTGTTCTAATCATTACTATTTATTGATTATACTGGGTTGGATATTTTAAAGTATAAAAGAGAAAATCTGTAATCAGGAGTTATTATTGATGACAAGATGATTACTAATGGATTAATGAATTTTGATGTATTCAATCCAGTAAAATCATTTAGAGATTAAAGGAATGTCTGTTCCTTTCCTCTCAAAATGTAAATGCATGTTTTGTGATAAAATTATAAAATTAATTCACATATATTAAATTTAAAATTGTGAAAAATTAAAAGAACCTGTTTTTGCACTTTTAATACCATTAACTTTATTTAAAATTTTTAAACCAAAAGAAAAATAGTCATGGAAACTTTGGCTTTAAATTTCAATCAGTATTGAATGTAAACTCATTTACAATAGTGTTGAGACCCATAGAATAGAAGAGAGAAAGTTAAATTGCTGCTTTTGCAAATCACTTTACAATTTATAAAAACAGAAAGATGATTTAATTTTAAATTAATAAAGAGTAAATAAAAGAAAATTTGTTTTTAACTTTCTCTCGGCATTTGACATGTTTGTTGTTTTAATTGCATGTTTAATTTTGTGTGTGTGGTGTTGTTTGCCATTTTGCAGTAGAGCCAAAGCCCTTGAAGATGAAGTAACTACCCTTACTAATAGTCTTAGATCTTTAGAAGTTTATGAAGAGAAGGTAAGGTTCTGGTATGGTTTGTGAAACTGTGCATAAGGTTTGGTCGTGTAATGACACCAGTCTCCATACTGTACCGTTTTCAATCGTATAGCTGCAGATAGCTTTCACTTTTAATCAGTTTCTCTTTCAGCCGCAGATGTTATTTGGCTTTTAACATGCAAAGATTATATGTTTCTAACACCTACCCTGTAATCCTGCTGCTAACAATTTTTTATATCTGCATACAATTTTTTTCGGAAACCAAACCGTTACATGTATGGGACTGATGTTTTTGCTCGATAACCAACTGCGATTCACCCTAGCTCACCACTTTGATTGGATAAGGTTGGGTTTGAGTGTTGCCCGTTGTGTGCCCCTTTCTTTGGAACAGTTGGTCGCATGTGGATGTTGGAACATGCGTCCTTCCTCTGTCGTCAACTCACGTTTCGCTAACCAGCCCCTGTAACATTTACTTCTTTTTTATCCGTTACAGCAAGATTTATGAACTTGATGAGGAGCTACATGTATTGGGTAACAATCTCAAAACCTATACAGTCCAGGTGTCAGAGGTAAGGGGAGCTAGGGGCTTCGCGGTTTGTTTCTTGAAAAATTCATAGTTACGATCTGTTGTTGCAGGAAAATCCTTGAGTTGGAAGAAGAATTGAAGGTTGTGGGAAACAATATGAAATCACTGGAAATCAGTGAGCAAGAGGTATCACCATATCTGCATGGTGTCCGCCTGCCTCTTGCATGCTAAAACCAATCAGAATCCTAGTATGGTCTAACTGCGCTACAGAGCGTTAGGCACCTGGAACGTAGAAACCATTGTGTGAGCCCCACTGGAAACAAAAACAAAATCTTAAAACTGATCAGTTTAGACCCCGCCCTTCTCATGACTTATGTGAACAAGTAGTTGTAGATTAACTAGTACGACCTAACCCAATATATTCTATACATCCTTTGACCTTAATGAGACAGCCATATTATGATAATCCTTAATAATACATGCACATGTCATATATATGTACATCTCCTTGAGTGATAAGAATGGTCTAGTTGAAATCTATGGAAAATAGCGCTACAAAAAGCAGTGTCCCCTTTCATTTGAATACTGGTAATTGAAGCATTACTGTTTCGTTATGAATCAGTGAGAGTTGAAATGGTATGGACCTGTATTTATACAATGAGAGGTTGTACTGTGAACCCAAATTTCCCATCACAAATTAGATGTAAATAATTCAAAAATAATGCTATTAATCCTAATTCTAAAAGAGCTTTCTAACTGCAAGAGAAAAGATTCGGCTATGTATATATATATATTTATTTAGAATTATTCTAACTGATGGGAAATTTGGGTGGTATTTTACTGAATAGGTCAGCAATATGATGATCAACTAGTTTACTACAACTTCAAATAACACTGACTTTGTTTTCTAGTGGCTGCTCGCATTAATGGAGCTTTAGTACGAAGAGGACACTGTAGAATCCCAAATTATGTTTAAAACCTAACTTAACTGTTTCATCATATTGTTCAGATAGCAAACTCCAATCTGCTCTAATATTGACCATTTGGAAACTTTAATTTCATATACTTGCTTATGTACATTCAAAAAGCATGAGTTTGCTATCATTTTGAAATGGGAAGTTTCACTAATGTGAACTGAATTGAAAGTTTCCCATTTCAAAAATATATCTTGAATATGTGAAGATTCATCCTTGATCATTCATTTACTAACTTTTGCTGTCAGCATGTCCCATATTTCCAGAATGATATTGTGGTAATTCAAATTTTTAAAACAGAAAAAAATAATATTGCTCATTTATTTGCAACCAAATCATTTCATGAATTTGGCTTGGATGCCCGACTTTTTTCTTGAATTCAATAATCATAAATTCTCATTGAAGCAATCACTTGAAATCATCACTTTGAGGAAGATGTGTATACAATAATAGTACTAAAGGGTGTGAATTCTGCCGTTGACTTTAACAATGCATGTTAATATATTATATTCTCTGATAATGATTTGTGTGAATTATTTAACAAGAGTGATTTTGAAGTTAATCATGTACTCACTTAATACCCTAAATATCCTCGATATTTTTTTTCAATATACACATTTCAAAAAGTCCCCATTAAACCAGACATTTTTTGCAGTCTTTTTAAATGAAAACTTGCAGTTAATGACTGAAATTTTAATACACCTTTTTACTATGTTCGACTAATATTTTAATTATTTCTTTGGATAATTGTTTTAATTTATTTTGTTGATAATTATCAATTTTGTTCTTGTGATTTATTTTCAACCAGTTGTTGTACTGAGGTTTTGAGTCTTTGAAGTCTGTTTTCTTTTATATTTATGACTTTTTTTTTCTCTCATTTCATTGGCACCCTCTGTAAATGCCTTTATATATTCCATTAATTCATAGATAAATTATCTATTACAATACTGTAATTTTACATTAAAAATCATGAAAACAAAAGAAATTTTACAGAGGGTAAAACACGTCTTCACATTTTTCAACTTTGTTTTATTTGACAAGAATTCATTTTTTTGTAATAATTTGGGATTCCACAAGTCTTAACAGCCATAACAGAGTGGCATATCACTCTTGTAAGACTTGTCCACTGTAAAATCTGAGAGCTTTGCAGGTGTCTGATCAAAAATTACAACCCTTAATTTATTCAAATTACGTCATTAACAAAATTTCTACCTCTTAAAATGTAATGTTGTGAAGTTATTTGTTGATTGATATTATATTTGTTTGAGTGAAGTCCAATTAAATTTATCATATCTTATAAAAAAAATGAACCCATTTTCTACCTTAAATTTTTAATATCTTGTTCATTTTCAAAACCTGCATAGCTTTCTTATTGGTGTTTATTTTTCTTTCAATTTGTTTTTCCTATTTATATTACCTTGTCTGACACCAGTTTAACCAAATTATTATAATTTTGAATTTTCATCCCAAATCTCCATTTGTTATTCCATTTATACTGAAAAGAATCCTAAATTAGTATCAATATAACCCTCATTTCTGTGCTCCAATCTGAATTAATTTATTGAGTTATTTTTCGCAGTTTGGGTATATTATTTTGTAAACTATTCTACATGTAACTGGTGTTAGATATTGTAATGTTGATGCTGTAAATAGATTAAATCAAATTATTGCCCCAGTTTGATATCTGTTCAAGAACATGTTTTGATGAAGAGGTCTCAAATATTTTATAATATTTAGCAGTATGGCTAAATGATGTCTAACCCATATAATGTTTGCTTTCTATAGGCTTCTCAGAGAGAAGACAGCTACGAAGAGACAATCCGTGATCTTACAAACAGACTAAAGGATGTATGTATACCAACCATAATAATTTCTTAATAGATATCATTCTAATAAGTTATTAATGTATAATAAATTGATATTAAATATAATAATTCATATAAATTTCATATTGTACATTGTTTGAATATATTATAACTGAATTCGTCTTGTCCCACTAGGCTGAAAACCGTGCCACTGAAGCTGAAAGAACCGTATCTAAATTACAGAAGGAGGTTGACAGACTGGAAGGTACCTTGGCACGATTGTGTGACCATGACCCCTAAATTAACCCTTCCAAAACTGTTGAGATTTTGATTAGAATAATAATTGTAGGAAAAAACTGCATGAAGAGATTAGATGTTTTAATCTGATGTTTGTTTTACAGGACAGACCAGTGTGTGATCTAATAGCATGATACAATTGTTATACAAACAAAAATTAATGTTATTCCCTAAATTTAAAAATAATATTGCTGCATGTTCTATTTCATTTGTTGATTGGTTAGGCTGAATTACGAAATGAAACTGCCGAGCGAGAACTCGTGAGACTACAGGCTAGTTTCGATCACCTTGAAGGTAGGTTCCAATCTATTGTAATTGGAAAATGAGCAGTGAAATGAGACCATAAAAATTGAAACCCAGAGCTGTCATAAAATCAAATAGCAGTTGTGCTTTTTCAAGAACAAGGCAGAGATATCTTTCAACTTAATTCTAGCAAAACAATTAATAAAAATTTAATATTGAATTGACCATAATTTATTAACTAATATTATGTAATTTGGATTCACTGTGTGAAATGTTTCTCAGACACTTAATTTAATAGTTTTATTATTTAATATTTGAACATTAATACAACCAACAATAACATTTAAGCATTTGAAGTCAATATAACTTATAATTATGTTGGCAATGTCTGTACTTCAATAGCTTTTAAATTAAGTGTCTCTGAATCATTGTAACAGTTATTTCGAATGCATGGTTTGAAATAAAATTTTGCATGATTTGTTGGCATGTTGCAGACCAATTGGACTGTGAAAAAAGACACAGTGAGCAACTTGCAAGAGAATTGGAAAAGACCATGCAGGATCTGCAGGATATGTAGATAAATCAACCATTTTACACAGGTGTTTGTTTACTATCTTCACATAAAGTTGCTTTATTTCATAAATATCTTTTATTATTTATTTCATAAATATCTTTTATTATCTTTATTTATTTATATATTTATTTCATAAATATCTTTATTTTATTTATCAAATATCTTATTTATTTATCATTTTGGGGGCAAAGGAGGTTTGTGGCACAAAATTGTTTGCTAATTTTCTAAATTATTCTCTACTCTTTAAAGTTTTTTTTAAATTTCCTTTGGTGTCAGGTTGTTCTTTTGGTATATACACTTGTTACGGGTATCTTAATGGTATGAATATTAAAATACCAGAAAGTTAAAATGATATCGACTAAAAGTCTATATTTGTGTGTTTACTAATATTGGCATGATTAATGTTTGAAATCTGGACATTAAACTAGTGAAAACTGCATGACAAGTTTGAAATTTGTAACAATTTATATGAAAACATTCCTTGTTGCTAAATTTATAACTTTAATATTACAGCTACCAGTATATTGTTTATTAATTTGTCTTTTTTTTCTTATTGTTTTTGTCATGGTTCTTTTATTATCAAATCTTTTTATAACTGACCTTCAAATTCAATTTAAATTTCATTTTTCAATTCAAATTACAATTTTATTTTGAATTAAAAATATAATTTATGAAAATTTAAACATTAATTTGATTTATAGTATGGTTTCATAAAAATATGCATTATATCTCAGTGAGAATTCAAGAGTTAAAAGTTAATAAAACTTAATAAAATATTTCTTTTATTTTTAACAAAACAGAAAATTAATTCTTACTTCTCTTTACTTTTCAGATGAACTACTCGCAGAGAAAGAGAAATACAAGGCTATTAGTGATGAACTTGATCAAACATTTGCAGAATTGGCTGGCTATTAAGATTACCGTTCTTTCGTCACTGCACAATAAGCCAATCAACTTAGGCTGTTCAAAATTCGTTACAGAGATCATTTGTTGTATACTTATCTCAAAAAGCCTCTTTTTACTCTGCCTGTTTATTTTTGGAGTGCGTGTAAGATGAGAATCATGACCAAATCGTCTTAAAAAGTGTAAAATTATTCTAATAATGATATGAAAATCGCTTGCTCCTAATTTTCAATGTACAAAGACAATTTAAAAAGACATTTTAGAGTTTTCGCTGAAAGCTCCAAAAATTGTAAGACTTACTTGAAGACCTTCAATGCAGATATTTTTATTATAATATGATTCCTTCTTTGAATCAAAACATTCTTAAGACCCTCTTTTAAATTACGGTGTAGTCGACAAGGGGGCATAAACGTTTAATACGTTAAGTGCGATTTTGTATATATATCTGCTGAAGTTGAGTGATTCTTGATAATTTTTGGTGTTTTTTTGTAAATTTAGTAAATAAATAGTTGAAGCTGCTGGATGGTGAATCGGTTTGAGAATAATATCTTATATTGTAAAGGACAGCCTGACTTGACCAAAAGCCCATCTCAAAAGTCACCGTACATGGCAATATCCGGATCAGCCTTTTTCTATTGTACATTTTTTAATCTGCTTATTGGTAGTCTGATGAAATTCAAACCAATCTATTTAAATTCTTGCATGCGATCAAAGATCATGGAAAATTTATTTGTAAATGTATTTATATTTTTTCGTTAATAATATTTGGATAATTTTTTTTTTTAAATGTCCCAGATTGAAACTAAATAGCCTCATATCCCAGTGAAACTCTTCCACTCTGATAACAAAAAAAAAAAACCTTGAAGAATTCTTTTGATGGAAAAAATGTCAATTTGCTGTTTATGAATCTGAACCCTCTTTCATGTTTGAAAGGGGGCAAAGAATTTGTGTACTTATTAAAGTCATAATTGCTATGAATGATACATCTGTATGTGCTTTATATTATTAACTTTATAGCAGTATAATGTTGAATGTAAACTATAGATATAAAACAATAAGCCTTGTATCAGCTAACATATTCTGGGTATTGCCATTTGTTTTTTTAAGACAATAAAAAAAAGTCATCTATTCCCCTGAATTCTGTCTTCTTATTATTTTTAATAGACTTGTTCAAACTAAATATTGGTCATTTTAAAGGAGCTAAATCGCTAATATTTGGAACCTAGAAATTGACACAAATGGGTTGCAACGCATATAATAATGTAATATGAATGTATATAAACTGATTTACATTCAATCTTTTTCGTTTTTATTGAAATGCAATATGGTACACGATTCATGTACCAATTGCAACATCAATTTTGATTTAAATTGAGAAAAAATTTGTGTTTTCAATGTCGAAGACTTTGGATGCTATTGAGTTACAGACTTAGCTACTTTAAGACACCATAATATTTAGTTTGAACTCAAGAATAAGTATTTAGTTGCATGCCGTCTAATTGCTAACAGAAATAAGCCAAACTCTCTCCATACATCATTTAAATATCTGCCGACATTAGCATTTCTGTATTTTAATAATATTCTTATTTTCAGCAAAATTTGATATACCACTTAAAAATATTTCTGAAACCGGTGGATATTTTGGTAAAGTCAATAGATTTATTTTCAAAATCATACTTGTATGGCAAAGTTTCTGTTTGTGTTAGAGGCACTGCATTATGGGTTTATGAAATAACTGTGGATGAAAACAATGATGTTATTGTGAAACCCGGGGGACTTTGATTGCATACAAGGGTATATATTACAAAAAAGGAATATTACAGTTTTCGTATGCCCAATAAAACATTGGACTTTTTCTCATAAGCTTATAACTTTCTATTGTTGCTATGCTCCTTTGGCATTTCAACTTAATCAAGGAAGTACAATTATCACTTAGAAATGTAGGACAGTTTCCTTTGTTGTAATATAGACCATGTATTCAATGACCACACCCGACCTGACATGATATCCTGCTATTTTCAGCTTATGAAATGAATATAGTGCAAAAATATGCCAAACCCTCTGTAAAAGAGAATGTGGGGGTCTTAACTTGTTTATTACAAGAGATCAAGTAACCTGAAATATCAACTGGTTATTCCAATCCAATGTCAAAAATCTAGAAAGATTCTGTCACCAAATCCAATCTCATCAGTTGCTTTAAAGTAAAAATGAAATGCAGTGGTTTAATGTTCAGCTCCATCTATGCTAATGACGATGGGCATACACTGTACAGTGTGCTATGAGGGATATTTTGTCCTGATAGCTCTTTTATGTGCCCGCCAATGCGTACATAGTCCCTTCCTTGACAGACCCACTGTCCTACACCACTGACAAGGAGGGCGGGGGGAGAACCACACCAGAAAATTCCAATGAACTTTCTCCGCCAACACTGGGATCGAACACAGGACTCCCACGTTAGCAAACCACCCTGACTCCCTAAATCTTAACTGTGCAGGTTGGCAAGAATGCTTTCAACACCAATCCCATATGGTCATCCAGGGAGGAAATTCCCAGAGTTGTCTTATTACTGTAGTAACACTGAATGACCATGACAGATTGTGTTCTGAATTTTCAATACCCAGTGTACAACCCTCACTACAGCCGAATTTATAGAGCTAATTTGTAGTCTATGTTTGAAAGAAACTGATTATGTGGTAGATATTAGTAAACTAACATTGGTAATATTGAAAATTTAATAATACTGGGAGAGAGCGGGAAGGGATTGGATAATCCCTATTTTATCAAATTTTCTTTCATTACAAAACATCTCTTTTGCTTGCATTCGATTTATAACACATCAATATTAGACCCATCTTGCATAATGATAATGTCCACCCACCTTAAAGCTGTCACATAAACAGACAATTAACCTAATGCCTAGTCTACATATACTGGGGGTTGCTATGAAATATCGGTTAGGTCTACATGTTAAGGCCACCTGCAGAATTCGTCATGGTCACAAGATGCATTTGTAAACTGGGCTAGCGCAAACCCTAGATCTTGCCGTAACCCATAATCCTCGGCAACAATCACGTGCAGTTATCTACTGTCTGTTTACATATCGTGACCTTGACGAAATCTACAGGTGGCCTTAATATTTAGACCTGACCATGAAATAACCCACGCTTTCGTCCTTCAGTTCAGGTCAAATGACTCACTTGTTGCTTACGTGACTCCCAAACTTCAAGCTTCGGTTAACCATTTTCAGACGTAGAGGGTGGAAAGAAATATTAGTGGCTTATTCAGCTAAGCACTAACTACAATTGATTAAGTGCACTACACAAAACCCCTGAAAAGCCGACAAAGGTCGACTTTTTTAAATATTGATTCACACTTCCATTGGATGTTAACTTGTGGTGTTCTGCATGATACCATGACAATGTAATAATGACGACTATAGAAAAAAGATTCATCTGAATGGGTTATGTTGTTCCGGGTCAAAGTTAGCTACAAGAACGTTGCTAAAAACGTAGAGAAATGTCTGTCTTTGTCGAAACATGTACATGGTGGGGGGGGGGGGGGGTAAGTTTCTCAGCCCAAGCTCAATACCGAGGGGGCCTTGTATTAGGAAAACCTTTCAATGTATCGCTAACAATATGGGGAAATCACTTAAAAACATAAGTGATTTACATCACCGTAACCAACAAAAAGATCAAATTCACACGTTTCATAGAAACATAAAAATGGGGGTGGGGTGGGGTGGGGGTAGGTCCTCCACCTGGATCAGCCACTGCCAAAAGGCTGCCCGCCGTTGAGTAATTAGCGGCAATGTGACGGCGTGATAACAAAGAATGAAGGAGGGCACCGTACAAACTGTTGAAACTGATCAGAAGGGAATATCCGCTAGGCCGCTACAATTACTGAAAGGGATGACGTTAATTAGGTCACAATATTAACCCCTAGGCTTTCCTTCTGCCAATTAATTTCTAAAACATTTTTGTGCAGTATTAGAAAAATAAATAATGGTGTTTGAAGTATATCTGATAATGTGCAGTATTTAGTAATAGTATGAATGGGTACATAAAATAGTGCACGAAGGCGGAAAATGAGTAAAATGCACCATTCTGCCAGGACCAGTTAACGTCTTATGTAACCAATGCACGCGTTATCGACGCCATGTGATGTGAAGTCACACGTAGAATGCATCTGAACTTATAACGGCCAGTAATCTTACACAGAAGACTTTCACATTACCTTTCACACTGATCCGCAGTGAATATTCGCTTGGCCGCTACAATCACTGATAAGGATGACATCGATGCGACTTAATGACTACAAAATATTAACTTTTTTCTTTCGACAAATTAAATTGTGAAACATTTTTTTTAGTATTAGAAAAATAAATAAAGGTGTTTGAAGTATATCTTTATAAAAAATATTCGATATTTAGCGTAAATAGGTACAGAAAATAGTACGCGGAGGCGTAAAATGGGTAAAACGATATAATTTTGCCCGTACCAGTTCATATTACTGTTTGTTTACTCTGAATTCTTTCAGAAGTACATTTTTTACCGTCTAATCTGATTGACCTGCTCGTGTTTGTTTTAAAACAACAAAAACAAGCCACAAAAGTAATCTTTTTTGGCGTTATCGATGCCATCTTGCTTTGTTGGTAAACATTGTGGTGTGACGTCACCCTTAGAACAACAGCGGTCTGACCTTTTAAAGGTCAGTCATCTTGGACAGAGATAAAAGACGGATGTAGCATTAGGTCTGTAAAACAGATTGATTTCCTTTATGAAACAAATTGCGACCTGCGGCATGTGAACTAAGGGAAATAACTCCATTAATATTCTTCATAGTCTTAAAAATAGGTACGACAGAAACTGAGAAAGAACATGAGGCTACAATTTGTTTTATAGATTTATTTCTTCTTTAAAATATATTTAATATACAATCGTTTAATAAATATCCTTATGTATATTCGCCAATGATTAATTTGGGCATGCCAGTACCCATAGTATCCGATCATACTTCTAATACTGCCAGGCTAATGTTTTAAACCATTTCGTTTCGCATTGATTTTATCTTTGGTAACCACTTTTCTGTAATTAAGTCATCCCAGGCCTGTGTTTGGTTTTTTAAACAAAAATGCTGTAGTAGTTTAGTGTAACAATTCTCTCCTCTAAGGGTACCGTTGGCTGGAATGACAAGAAAGGAGCGGTAATCAAACACGCATTGCTATGTAGAAGAACCTGTGAATTAGAACAAGGGTAGGGCTATTCGGAAAACCTCTCCTCGTTTCTACGCCAGTAAAACATTGTTACAAAAAGTTTCGACGAGAGCAGAATGCTGAAATGAAATGAAAAGGTGTTTAACCAGTGCCGGATTAAAAACAACAGAGGCCCTAAGCACTTAAAAGGTTTTGGCGCCCCCACATGTAATTCAAAATATAAACAATAATAAATAATACACAACCGCCAAGCACGTGATTATGTTTTTCTGGGTTCCAAATCTAGGGCGCCATCCACAATTCCAACACCACAATGAATGTCAAAAAAATTCGTATAACATGTAATTTGGGACTTGATCCGAGGGGATTTGTCTCACGGGGGCACTTACTTGGTCTCATATCAAATCCGCGTCTGCAAACTAGGTATATGGGACCGCATACAGCCCATAAACACACGGATCGCACTTTAATAGTTCAAAGTTTCAGTATTCCTATAGTTTAGAAGATTTAATATTGTTATAGCTCAAATAAAAAAGTAATCTGCATTCTCGAATACCTACACAATTGGATAAATTAACTTGTGGACTAGAGGACAGTTAACGATGCATTCCCATACGCAAACTGTGTGATTTTTATTCATTTACATATGGCTGTCCATTTACCATCGATACAGGCTGCCAGTTAGTGACACCCTTACATTTTTGTCCTGTGGGCGTCTGGAGCGTCTCTATACTTTCTGTTATGTCTGGCCCATATTTCAGAGTGTGTGTAATTAACTGTTTAAAACACTTTTACTTTAAATGTCACTTATATGTATGAACTTTACTGTTATCAATGATAAGTATTTAACAGCAATAGCCTTTTAAATATCTGGGAGGTTTCCAATTCTATTGGACTGTCTTGTTGGGATTGGTGGTGGATCGTTG